TAGAGCTGGCACCCTAAATTTGTACTTGTCTCCTAAACTGTGAGAGAATAAGCTTCTGTTTGTTAAAGATACGTATGTGAGATATTATTTTGATAGCAGCACTAGATAATGACGACGGTGTGATTATATAGGTTAGAAATATTTTTCCATTATGTAACCCTGTTTTCTTACTTCTGTCATGTAAAAGTCATAGTTAGATGTATAAATTTAATCTGTATTTTGCTCTGTGGACTTTCCATATCGTATCTTTCTAATCCAAAGTCTTGGAAACGTGGTGTGGCGCTGTGGGTTAATGCACTCAATGTGTATTGCAAAGTCATTCGAACTGCAAGGTCACCAGCCACTCCTGGTTCAAGCTCACCAACTGCTCCTCAGAAACCCTTAGAGGGTCACTATGGGTCGGAACTGACTTGATGGTACTTAACAATCCAAAGTCTTAAGAATGTATTATATATTTTTCTTCTGCTTTATTTTTTATGTCGAGGGTGGTGTGTGTGTGCTTGTGTGCATGTTTGGTAGGAAGGAGGGATCCGTTAATTTTCTCCAAACAAATAATCCAGTTTCCCTTGCTGTGTTTATTTAATAGTCATTCATTTAAAATGACACCTTTATCATACTACATCTTCATAGATTCATGATCTGAACTGTGTGTAGTCACTGCTAACCATAGGGTCAGTGGTTCAAACCCACCATCTGATCTTCCAATACTACACTGTTTCAATTACTATACATTTAAAATACATATTGATAATCCTTTACAATACACATTGATAATGAATATGGCAGCTACTTCTCAAAATTGCCTTGACATTTACACATCCTTACAAAACTTAGTTGTCAAGTGCCATAAAATACTTGACTGGAAAGGCATAAACTTGAGGAGAAATTTTCATCTTAAAACTGCTGACTTTTTACATCCTGGTGTGGCGCTGCCCTGGCCCACAAGGTGAGCAGTTCAAATCCACCAGCCACTCCTGAAAAATGAGAGGGTTGCTATGAGTCAGAATCAACTTAATGCACATAAAATAAGTTTTACACCCGTAAACCTTGTATTTTATTCAACCTTTATTAATAAATGTTTCATTTTAGACATATTAAATTTGAATTACCAACATTGGTGTTCAGATCTGTGGCATGTCATGGTGTAGGATCTGACGAAGCAGCAGAGATATTGTCCTTACCAGGATAGAGCTGGGGAGCCCAGTCCTGGAAAAGGGAGGGATTTCTTGGAGAAAAATGCAGAGAAAGATTATAGTATTGTGTCGGGCGAGTGCCAAGGAAGGAAAGTCCAGGAGAGAGACAAAGTGTTGGGAGGACCTGTGGAGGTTCTCGTGTGGGAATATGCTGCAGAGATGTGAGAGAGGTTTTACTTGAGGGAGCTCCTGAATGGGAGACTTGGTGGCCTTGATGGAATAGAATGTAGAGTTTTGTTGTTGTGTGCTTTCAAGTCAGTTCCGACTTCAAGGCTGTAAATCTTTACAAGAACAGAAAGGCTCATCTTTCTTCTATAGAGTAGCTGGTGGATTCAAACTACTGACCATGCAGTGAACAGCCCAATGCATAACCCACTACGCCACAAGGACTCCTAGAATATAGAGTGAGGTTCCACAATTAAAAGTGGCGTCTGACAGGTAGTGAAGATAAGAAGCAGTGGTTTCCAGGGGACCTGAGTTATAGGAATGTTTCGGTAGTTTTTCCTGGGGCTGGGGGACCTTTAGCTATGGGTAGGGTGAAGGGAAGGAGGCAGTGACCTGGCAAAGGTCCTCAAGGAGACTTACTGCATAGAGGTGGCTGGCCCTGGCTTCATGACTCTGATTTCTGCCCTGACAGGTACAGGCCACTTTCATCGGGCTGCTGGCTGCTCTGACTGCCCTGATGCTGGGAGCTGTGTCCAGGGAGGAGCTGGACTTAGCTAAGGTGGGGCTGCTGTGTGCCAGCAGCGTCCTCACTGCCTTCCTTGCCGCCTTGGTGTTAGGTGAGCCCACCCCACTCTGGCATCTCCCTGCCACCAGCTGCTCACCTCTAAGACACTGTTCCCAGCTACCTACTTTTCCCATTGCGGAGATGCCAGAGATGAGGACACTAAGATGGAGGGGTGAGGGGGAAAAAAGGAGGTGCTGAGGCATCTTATTGGTGCTGGGATGCTTAATTTTCACAGCCATCGTGTGGGTAGGGGCAGAGGGCATGAGCTCCTCTCCTAGGCTCCTGTAAGCTCTACTGTTGAAAGAAGTGGCCTTTGCTCTGCAGACCTGTTTTCACTCTGGTCCTTCTTGATCCATGCTCCACCCAGGAGGCTTGTTCATCTGTTACTCTCACTGTGTCCTTATATGTTCCCCAAACCCAGCTGCACCCCAGGCTCTACAATGGCTCAGACTTCAGCCCAGATTCCATCTCTTCAGAGAGGCCTTTCTTTCCCCATCACCTTTTCATCAGTTCCATGCTCTCCACCTCCTTTCTCAGTGCCACATTCTCCACTATGACCCTGTTTAGGAACATCCAAAATTATCCTGTAAGGTTTTTTTGTTCGTTTTCTGTATGCTCGCCCTGCTAAAAGTTGGTTTGTTTTGAAACCTTTCGGCTTCAATTATCGTACCAGCCTCTTTAATCAAGGCCAAAGAGAGTCGTTGGCAGACATAGTCCTTTTCCTGGTGGAAGCACCAGCCACAGTCGTTGACTAACTGCATGCAGCGTACTTCTATTTACCCTTTAGTCCGTCACCTGACTGCTCTCGGTTGACATGGCATTCATAGCATGGTGTTATTCACTTGTTATTCTGTCTTGTATAGAATAGAGGTACTGGTGTAACGCTGTAGAATAAGCACTGGACTGCTAACTGCAAGGTTGGCAGTTCAATCCACCAACTGCTCCTTAGAAATCATATACCAGGTTGCTATGAATTGGAACTGACTCGATGGCACTTAAGGTGCTGGAGATACACTGGTAAACACACGGATCCTACTCTTTGGTGTGTATTTATAGTGCAGATGCCTCAGACACTAACTGTATGAGCCCATAGTCAGTCATAGGTGAATATTAAATGGCATTCTCCATGCGAGGCCTTCTCGGTTCAGTACTCTGAATGAAGGACCCTCTTTCTTCAAGCATTTGTTCCCCATCCTGCAAGCCTGAATGCTCCCTGAGGATAGGACCTCATTTCTGTTCTCAGTGCTTAACACAGGACAGGGCACCTAACCAGGTCCGGCAAGTTTGTTGAACAATGTACTTTATCCTGCTTCTCTCTCTTCTAGACCTGTCCGGTGGATTTGAGATGCTGTGTTTCTGTGTATGCCTTGCCAACAGGTGCCTTGTGTTTTGGAGCATACTTCTATTTACCCTTCTGTCCCCATCTGATTGCCCACTAAACATCTCTGAACTCGGGTTTCTGTAGGCCAAAACTGTCAGTGATGTGGTAGTTTCCTTTTTTTTAAGATGTTTACTTCTGTTTTATTGGCTAGGAAAACGCACTTGACTGTGTGGATCACAACATTGCAAAGAATGGGGACTCCAACACACTTAACTGTGCTCACACAGAACCTGAGCATAAAGCAGGAGGCAACCATTCAAACAGAACAAAGGGAAACTGCAAGATATTTAGAACCAGAAAAAGTGTGTTTCCTTCCACCATATTGATTCAATCTGTATGTTAGGAAAACAATCCTAGAAACAGATTATATGGAGAATACAGCACCAGGATTGGAGGAAGGCTCATGAACAAAAATAGTGTGTACATAAAACAACCTTGCTTGCCGAAAGTGAAGTTGTTGTTAGGTGCCATTGAGTCAGTACCGACTCATAGCGACCTTATCCACAGCAGAACGAAACACTGCCGATCCTGGGCCAACTTCACTATCGTTGCCACGCTTGAGCTCTTTGATGCTGCCACTTGGCCAATCCATCACGTTGGGGGTCTTCCTCTTTTTCTCTGACCCTCCCTTACCAAACATGATATCTTTCTCCAGCGACTGGTCCCTCCTGACAATATGTCTGAAGTATGAGACACGAAGTTGGCCTCTAAGGAGCACTCTGGCTGCACTTCTTCCAACACAAATCTGTTGGTTCTTTTGGCAGCCCATGGCACTTTCAATATTCTCCTCCAACATCATAACTCAAAAGCATCAATTCCTCTACAGTCTTCCTTATTCACTGTCCAGCTTTTGCATGCCTATAAGGAGCTCTGGTAGCGTAGTGGTTACGAATCGGGCTGCGAACCTTAAGGTCAGCGGTTCGAAACTACCAGTCGCTCCGCGGGAGAAAGATGAGGCCTTCTACTCCCGTAAGGATTTACACCCTCGGAAACCCTGTACAGGGTCGCTATGGGTTGGAACCGACTCGACGGCACTTAACAACAACAACAAGGTTATTGAAAATACCATGACTTGGGTCACGCACACCTTAGTCTTCAAGCTAACTGACATCTTTGCTGATGTAGTTTCTTGCCCTTAATTGAAAACCTTCCACGTATATCATGTGCTTGTACATATAATCAAGACAGAGTTAGCTTCAAGGACAAACACCAGTGACAGTACAGTTACTGATAGGCAAACTGAGCTCCTGTTTGTAGACGTTTGCTGAGGTGAGCTCCATATGTGTATACAGAGGTTGTAGGCCATTAGCCAGTGTGGAAAAAGCACAGAGAGGGAATAGGCATACAAGTCCAGGAGATGTGAGCCATGGAATCTGTTCTGAAAATATAACATTACAGGACCTTGTGGAGCAAACTCTTGGTACATTCTCCTTTAATCTGTGGAGAAGCTGAGACCCAGTCACTGAAGAGACTCAGCATAAACTTGTCAGTGTAGTTTCGGAGATATGTAGAAGTTCAAGGGTTCGTAGTTCGATCTGGAAATGACTCTAATGTATAGCCAGGTGCCATCATTCTCATAGTTAATGAACATTCCCAACTACGGTTCTCCTGCAGCCTGTCACTTAGGACTGAAATTTCAGAGAGTAGCCATGACCTCATCATAGAAATCAGACAT